ATGGCGAGCATCGGTATATCCTCGGATTTAGTGGAAGCGGCTCATGTTGTCTAATGGTGGTGCATTCGTTATCGTAAGGAGAGGTTCCGGGTTCGATATCTGGTTAATGCATTTTCCAGGTACATATTCTGCCCACAGTATTCGTCCTGGAGGCTCTAACGTAATTTAGCGGATCTTGCTTTATTCGGAGGCCTGGGTGTTGCTGGTATGATCACTGAAATGTAAAGACAATTTGATGTTTGCTTCGGTTCGTTAATCGAACGCTACGACTAAGGAATCAAAGCAAGCTCGGACGTACCTTCCTAACTCGTATTATTGTTATCGGTAGTGGTCTCGGGTGTAGTTCCCATTATCAGGTTTTGGTCCATTTTCTTCGTCCTCTCTGGCGTGTTCATGATCTCGACAGGGGCGCTCACACTCTACTTCCCTATTAGGGTGAGAACAGTGTGAACGGTGAGTCCCTGAAGGCTTATGCTTCCATCAGGGCGTGTCGTCCTTTACTACATCCCCGCAGCATCGAGAACTGTCGACTTCTATGAAGAGCACAAGTACGTCTAATGTATTTGCTGCTTGCCTTGGTAGCGCTTGTGATTTGCCCCTTTACGCCACATTGGATGTTATAGCAGGGGAATGCCTTTAAAAGCAGCCTGATTACACTTGATCAATGTAGACTATTCTCATCACAGGCTTAGCTTAGAGTTTTCTCCACCCTAGGGAGGATTAGGACAACGATCCAGGATGATGCACCAGCACCTTGCTTTTTAATAGGCGTCAGTGTTGGAGGAAGAGGTTTTATCGATACCATTCGCCCCGTTCCCTCCGGCAGGGCGGACGCCGACAATAGAAGGAACTGTGCAATGAGAGGCTTGCCTCTTAATTCACGAAGGTCTCAACCGGACCTGTTTTGTATCTTTGGTGTATGCGACCTTAGATATTTGTAGTTTTTGGGCTTGTTATTTTCATTCATCCGCCTGTGCACGATGCTCTTTGCTGAAAAGTTTTTGTATGCGCTCAGTTAATTCGATGTACACGGGAAACCTGTAGCGGTTGTCATGCTCATGCAATTCATGTTGGGGAATAGTAGTAGCAAATGCCAAATAATCATCACGTTCATCGTTATATTGATGGCGTTGCTTCCGGCAGTTAATTCTGTTGGAACAGGTCTGTGAAGCCTCCATGCTATGTTTCGGTGTGGCCGCATTGGCTTTTGACTGGTTGGTGGTGTCGAGTTGGTTAGCCTGAGGATCGAACCTCTGCGGATTTTATAGTGGCGGGTTCTGTTCGTTGATGACCACTGTCGGCCCTCTCTCCCTACTGCATTCGGCGATTATAGTTAGATACGCTCAAGCCTTGATGGGCTCAGTTGTGGTGAAGTTGTCCTTCTCGAAGGTAAGCGATCGGACGATCCTTGGCTTGATAAACCCGAATTAGACTTTGTGTCGGTGGAAGAGAGGACTCGTTGTAACCATTGGTGATGCGATATGAACTCATCGTTGAGTTGATTCGGGGAATTGATGGTATGTGTGATGTCGCTCACCAGTTTTACATTTCCTGATGGAGAAGCACTCAACTGCCGTCGACAGTACTGCTCAGGACAAGGCTCAGAGTACACCTGGTAGTAGACATATCTTATGTCGAGTCATGTGCAGGTCACCAACCCCATAATACAAGTATGGCTACGTCTCAACTGCTGCATGGGGAAGTGAGTCAGATGCGCGCAACGTTAACGGTAGGAAGAAGCTTGTTGAGGCCTGCGTGTCGGAGGGCGATGGGGGCGGCCTTAGATGGCGAAAGAGTCTCGAAAGAGGACAGAGTTGGATGCTCAGCTGCTTGCTAATCGCATAGCTCTGTTGAAGCAGGAGGAAGAAAAGGCTTGGAAGAAAATACAGGAAACCCGTAGAAAGTAAACTCTGAGACCTATTCTGTATCTTTTATGGTCAACCTATGATATCCAGAGCCGAGCAGATCAACACGCTACGTGCCGAGAATGAAGCCAAAGTCCTTGCCAAGGAAGAGGTGAACCATATAGGTGTTCACTCGCTATTTAATTGCAGTCGCAATAGTTGCATAAAAAGCAGTGGCAGGCAGTTCGTGCTACTCAAGCACGGAACGCCTTCCTGAAGGACAAGGCGAGGCAGCTGAGGGAGGTGAGACTTGCCGTAATTGGTGGAGATAGCAAGAGGTAATTGTGCAGGCCTCGAAGGGTGCTGTGTTGGAAAGTAAGCGGCATCTTGTACGGGAAGGTAGAGAGGAACAGATGAAGTTACAACAACAGAAGCAGGAGAAGTGGATCAGGGATATGTAATATGGGAGAAAGAGTGGTGTTAG